ATTTTGAATAGCGATTTCCCGACGAATCATAGGGATTCATAAGTCGATCTAAATATGGTTTCGAAGCTCTCGCTGTCAGCTATTCAGATCTTCTTTCCGTTACCGATTCTGAGGTATATTTGATCCGCAAATGAATTTGGAAGTTGACAAAAATTCACTGTTTCTAAAAAAATTTTAATTTTTAGCTTGATTTTTTTTTGGATATATAGTTACATTTCGGGTATATGGGTAACTTTTTATTATTTCGGGTAAAATCGTGTAAAAAAAAACCGATCCGAATCCTAATCGAATGAGAACTAAAAAATTTCGGATATTAAGCAGTTCTGAAGTTTGAGACCTGGACCGAACCAGAATCGATAAGACCTGAACTGAAACCGAATCAAAATTCCATCGGTTCCTATATGGGTATTAAATCACTCTACCTGATAGATCTAGAATCGATCGAGTAGGACCCGGAACGGACCCGAATATCTGAATGCCCATACCTAAGTAATCTTATGATATTCCTTTCCATTATGATCTTTCTCGATAAACCTTTTCTACACTTGTGGAATCTTTATTTATATTACACCCTTTACTCTATACTCCCTTAGCATTCACACTTGAGCTTGCCAGCTCACCCTCCATGTCATCACAATCTTCAATGATACTTATCAATACTTCCCCCTTTGAAAACAAGCTTGCCCTCAAGCTTGATGTGAAAAACTTAGGTAAGAGCTTGCCTTTTGTTCCAGCAACAAGTGTCGATTCTCTTGGTTCATATGGGTCATCAATCTTCGGCAAACTAAGGACATTGTTGCAGCTTATTTTTCCACTTATGTTTTACTTGAAATTTTACAACACCAAGTGTACACTGTCGCAGCTCTTGTAACAGATGTCCCATCCTGTTTTGACAATCTTTCTTTGTAAAGCATCTCTTTCTGCTATTATTGTCTTCATAAAACATCTCTGATGAACCCATGGTGTCATTATTGCTATGCCTTCTTCAGTTTTAGGCTGAATATTGGCTTTTATAAACAACATGCATCTTGAAACTGTCAGCAATTGCTCAGACACAACTCTTCTGCTGCCTAAGAACTGGTTCCATTTGTCCTGATGTTCCGAAGCAAAATATTCTGAAAGAATCATTGAAGACCATCGCTGTGCAAAGTAATCCAACGAAGGTGTATAGCAACTCAAGAGAAAAAGCTTGTCCCAGCAATACTCCACCTCTGAACTGTAGGAGTTGATGAGCTTTAATCTCCATTTGTGCTTCACTTGAGACTTCACCTCACTATGATCAAACCATTTCATTCTTCTTGCAACGAGACGTAGCCAAAACACGCACAACAACACCGACATTTATGCTTGTTTTTACATTCTCATACTCTAACATTGTCTCTTATTCTATGCTAATCCAACTGTAACACAGAAAATAAGAATATCACTAGGTTCCAATGAATCCAATTCACACAAAACCGTGAGAGAAAAATCAGAAGTGTACAACTGTTGCAAGTATCCTGAATCCCATCATCTTAGCATGTTAAACACCAACCATGACATGACTGATATATCTACTCCTTTTATCAGTTTTCAGCTCTCAATTTTCTTTTTGCTTTGATTGTAGATACCTCGATCGAATGTAATCTTCTCTTCCTTCCAACATACACTTTGCCTTTTTCTGAGCTCACCAAGTATCTTAGCCATGCCTTATATTTGAATTTGAATTTCCATGTTTTGGGCAGTTTATCTATCTCCATCTTTGTGTTCAACCTTAGTGTCATGAGAGACAATACAATATCGGCCACTTGATATGCAAAATTCAGCAGCTTTTTGGACATTAAACTATTACTAGTTTTAACATCCTCTCTGTCATATAGAAAACTCGTTGGTCTCTTCTCTGCAATGGAACCACTGTCGAACTGTTTCAGTTTTGGTGAATGATTCTCCAATGGCACTCTACATATCACTCTTGAGATATAAGGCTGCCTCAGCATTCGCAAATGATTAAATTTGCCATGTTTCCACATTGAATCAACACGATCACCAGATTTCTCATACATGTCGTGTATTATTGGTGATTCTGTTGTTTGTATCACTTCTTTGCCACCAAACTCTACCTCTTGAACATTCCCCTGATTCAATTCTTGCTGATGCACTCCGGGAGGGTCGAAATTCCCTTCTTTCTTATGTACAACTTCTATGCTTGGAATGTCACTCCATTTCAGATTCTTCTATGCATTTTCTTCAATAAGTTCCTGATTAATCTCTTCCACAATTGATAAACTTGTGTTCTGCACAATATCTGTCTCAGGAGCATCTTCGCTACTTGATTATGTAAACTGCAGAACCAGATTCTTCTTGAAATCAGCCCAATCCAGAAACCTCGTTTTTCTCATCATACGGCAGAACCATTTATATGCAGCTCCTTCCAAGTATAGGAATATTACGTCTAGCCTGGTTTCATCGTCTTCATCACCAAAAAACTGATCCGCTTTCACAATCCAAAAAGTCGGATTTGTTCCATCAAACATAGGCACCTCAGTCAATGAGAACACACACTCATGATTGGCAATATCAACATTCTCAGATCGATACCCTAGCTGTGTATAATATCGGTTTAATTCTAAGTTATCAACATTTACCTGGAATTCATTCCGTGAAGATTCAGAAATTTGAGATCCATATAAGCACTTGAACCCTCCATTCCGAAACTTCAATTGCTTCACCGCCATCGGTTCGTCACTGTCATCGTCCAATTAAAACATCACCGGTGATTTTGCTCCAACTTGTGATTCCGTCGGAGATCCAGAAATTGTCTTCATCCGTGATGCCAATTCATCCGTCCTCCAGAATTCATGGCTGAAGAAAAGATCAATTTCCTCACTCATTTTCATCGTCACAGCTCCTCGAATTGCCATCGTCGCGTTAGATTCGATCCACGCTCACTGCACCATTGTTAGAGATTATATCGATAAACTCTGTGAAATGTATTGAATTATATATAGTGAATCGAGAGAAGTACAAAGAGTGATTAAGAGGCCTGGGCAAAAAACTCGGATCTAAAAACCCGAACCGGTACCGACCCGAAATAATCGGTTCGGATCGGGTTCAGTTATTAGTTTTTATACCCGATGGGTCTTGAGTTTGAGAACTGTGGGTATCGGTTCGGTTCCGGTTCTTACCCGGAACCGATCAGGTACCCGAATTTTTTTTTATATAGTTACCGAGTGAGGGTTTTGTATAGCGATTTTCCAACGAATCATAGGAATTTAGAAGTCGATCTACATATGGTTTCGAAGGTTTCACGATCAGCTATTGAGATCTTCTTGCCGTTACCGATTCCAAGGTATATTCGATCCGCAAATCAGTTTGGAAGTTGACGAAAATTCAGTGTTTCTAAAAAAATTCTAAGTTTTAGCTTTTTTCCGGATATATAGTTACATTTCGAGTATATGGATAACTTTTTATTATTTCGGGTATAATCGGGTAAAAAAAACCGATCCAAGCCCAAATCGAATGAGAACCAAAAAATTTCAGATATTAAACTGTTTCGAAGTTTAAAACTTGAACCGAACCGGAATCGATAAGACCCGAACTGAAATCGAATCGAAATTCTATCGGTTTCTATATAGGTATTAAATCACTCTACCCGATAGATACGGAATCGATCAAATAGGACCCGGAACGGATCCAAATATCCGAATGCCCAGACCTAAATGATCTTATGATATTCCTTTCTATTATAATCTTTCTCGATAAACTTTTTCTATACTTGTGGAATCTTTATTTATATCACACCATTTACTGTCTACTCCACTAACATTCACACTCGAGTTTGCCACCTCACCCTTCATGTCATCACAATCTTCTATGACCATTTATCTCTTATGGAGACAACGTAATGTTAGATTGCACCTTACAAAAGGTCTTATGCTGCCTCTGTTCTCTAGGACACAGTCATAATCATCTGAGCCAAGCCTTCTGTCCAATCATATCTTACCACCTGCTACCGAGCATTCTAGCCGACACAACCACGTCAACTGCAGTTGCTTACGGTTCTTCTATTTCTTTTTATCGTTTTCCATGCAACTTCTTAAAAGTATTAATCTGTACATGACCTTATGTTTTGAAGTAATATCAAATCGTTAAGCTCCTTAAAATCGTTTTATAAAATATTTAGTAAATAAATAAAATATCAAATGGAAATATGATGTATAGTTAACTAAATAACTTATAAAACCATCTGCATCTATGATAATTTTTTGGGGGTTTTTAAACATTTTTTTTTACTAATTTAATGTAACTAGATTTAATAATTAAATTTAAATTGAAAACGGAAATTTAGACCAATGTATAAATGATATATATATAATATGAGGTTTTCAACAAAATTTTCAAATGTTCTCAAATGAGAACCTCTCCTCACTCTCTCTCTCTTTATTTTTGATTATTTTTAATTTCTTAATATTTAGAACCTCTTCTGAGAACTTGCCACTATAGATGCTCCAAGTTATAACACTAACGTAGCAAACAACAATAAAAATATTTAATATAAATTTTAGTGATATTTAAAAATTAAAAAAAAAACTATGCGTAATGCGAATATTCATCTAGTAACTAATAAAATCTGAAGATTAGGTTGAAAGTTGGAACAGAAAATAGTTTGGGTCAGACTGAGCAGAGTATTCACAAATATTGTAGAGTTTTTTTAATGATAAATCTAGTATCAGTTAAATTTCGTTTCTAAATATTGTGGTTATTCAAAAAAGTATAATAAGCGATTATACATATATAAAATTTCATTTTTAAATATTTTTTCTTTCCTTTTTCAAATAATATGAATTTTATAATATAAAAGCAGCCAAAATTACTTCTCGAATAAAATAATAAATTCTCATTTTGGGCCAAGTCTTTTGCTGAGAGAAACCAAAAATGATATATTAGGCCCATTTGTTTTAATATAGCCCACCAAAATAATATATCTACGGCCCAGTTTAGGTGATCAAAATCAGCCACGATAATCAGATCCAGACCGTCCAAAATAGGGATCTCAAAAACCCCATTAAACCTCTGCTTCACTAACTTGTCTGTTGCCTCTTCAACACACGACGAATCTCTTACAAAGTCTAAGCTTTTTCAACCTTCTACGGTTCTTTGATCGTTATTAACTGGTACGCTTCAAAGATTTCAATTTTCTTTAATATCATTTTTTGCGAATTTTACGGATTGGGTCTGTTTTTTGGAGGCTAATCTATGTTTTCCCCTTAATCTAATTGCTCACTCAAGTGATTTGAAGAAAAAATATTGGTTTTGTGTATTTCATTTGTTTATTTTGGGGTATAATTAGGGAGAATCTGCTTAATTTGTGACTAAGATCTTCCTTCAGGGTAATGAGCTTTCTGTAAATATGTCTCTAATTTTGACTTTTTGTGTGATACATAATAAAAGTTTGCTCTAAAATCATGAAATTATGGATGATTGACTTTCTTTATTTTTCTGAAAAAAATTAGAATTTGAGGCTCATGAAACTTTTTCTATAAACTCAGTATTTTTTTCTTATTCGATGAAGCTTTAAACATTGCTTGCTAATATTTTTTTGGGAATTAATTGGAAATTCGATTTATTGCCCATACATCAAAGTATTGATTTGCTCAATGTCTCTACGTTGGACTTAATTGCTCAATATTTTGCTGTTTAACTTAGATTTTCAAGATCAAGCTTTATTCCATCAAGCTTTTAACTTTGTTTACTAATAGTTTTGGGAAATTGCTGTCAGAAACACAATCTGTTAGCCATTGAGTCGTAGAAATCTCTTGAACCAATACAACAACCTAACCTCAGTGCACAAGATTCATCGAGAATGACGAAGCTAGTAACGCCGGGAGATAAACTCGGGAGTGCGACTCAGTTTAAAGCCGGCAAAGGAGCTTATGTCAACGACACTACAATCTACGCTTCCCTCACAGGATACTTCCAGATTGTTTCTCCTCTTCCTGAATCCCTTGACCAGGTCTCTGCATTTTTCAAGTGTTCTTGTTGCGTTGAATAACCTGAATCCTCAAGGAATCGTTTGGACTGTGGAAACTAATCTTGTGGAATACGTTTTTCATCGATGTAAACACTTCTTGTCTTGTGATTTTATGCAGAGAGCCATTGTGGAAGTTACAGGTCACAAGGCACATGGACTTATTCCGGAGCCTGGTTCTGTTGTCACTGCAAGGGTGAGTTAAAAAATGATTGATTCTTTATTCATTGGATGTCAATTACTTTAAAAATTTATTTTGATCCTTTATCCTCTGTTATGCTTTAATAGGTGACTAAAGTTATAGCTCGGATGGCTTCTGTTAATATCTTGTGTGTTGGTCCAAAGGCTGTTCGTGAGAAATTCGCTGGCATAATCAGGTATTTTCTCCTGCATTAACTGTGACAAGTACATCGATCAGTGCAAAACGACGCTAAATGTTAAACGGAATTCGAGTTTTAATCTCTGTTTTAGCGACTTGTAAACGAGCAAACCCTATTTTCTAGGTTTTAGTGTTTTTTAATGTGTCAAATGTAACTTGTGTTTGATTGCTTTACACAGGCAACAAGATGTTAGAGCAACAGAGATTGACAAAGTTGATATGCATCAGTCTTTCCGTCCTGGTGACATTGTTAGAGCTATGGTTGTATCCTTTTGCGCAACTAAAATATTTTTATGTTTCACACTTAGTTGTCTAGAAAATTCTATTTAGTATCCTGGTTTAGGAGCACTACTAGTTCTTAACATTGCTTTTAGATGGAAAGATATTTTTAAAATTTGTTTAGATCATGCAGTCCATTTTTCTGTTTACACTCGCACATCCTCTATAGTTCTAGTCTCTATAGATAGCATTCTATATTTGCCTTAACTTGTACCCTTAAAGCTGTCTATTGGTGATGCACGGGCTTACTATCTATCAACTGCTAAGAATGAGCTTGGTGTGGTATCAGCAGAAAGTGCTGCAGGTAAAATATAGTACATAGTTTATAACCAATCTGTGTCCCAATTCCTTTCTTGTTGTGCTTGGAACTAATGGAATGAAATGTGTATATCTGTCTGAGTAATGAAATGTCACTGTTGTGGTGATTATGCAGGTGAAACAATGGTTCCTATAAGTTGGACGGAGATGCAGTGTCCCTTGTCGGGCCAAACCGAGCAGAGAAAAGTTGCTAAGGTGGTTTAGTTGAATTCAAGGTGAGATTTGGCTTCCCTCATTGAATGATGTGCGAGTCTCTACAACAAAACAAGAAAATATCTGAGTATTATAATTTTGAGCTCTTTTGACTTCTTTTTTAACTTTAGATTGTGGAAACGGTTGGTTTAACTCGGAACAACTTGAACACTTTGATTGTTGTAATTTCTTGGTGTGAGATTGGAGTAATGAAACCACTTTCTTGGAGATGTAATTCATTTGTAACATTTTCAGTGTCGATGAAAGGGGGGCTAAAGATATAATGTAGTTGAATGTGTGAACCGTTCGATCCTTACACTGCATTGATAATTGTGACGAACGTTTGAATGCTTGTTGCACAAGATTTTTGGTCTTGGGTTTATTTTTGAGATTGTTGTGAGATGGATCAAATGAAATGGAATTTTAGGTTACATCAAACTTATCAAAGCGACTTCATATGCGGTCACATCACATCTAATGTCATCTCCGTCATTTCAGAAACTTTTTTCTTTTTACTATTCAAACTAGGTAATAACCCGCACCAAAAATAATTATTATTTATGTAGATTTATTATAATTTTAAAATTATATAATTTAATATAATTAAAATTTATATAATATTATATAATAACATTGACAATATTAAAAAGATAATTTAATTGTAATATAAATTAATTTAAATTATCTTATAGTTTATCTACAATTAAAAAGTAAAATATTTAAAGATATCATTAACTTTTATGTCAAATATATTTTTAACTAATTATTAATAAATAATTTATTTAATTCCAAAACCGATAAATTTATAATTTTATAAATTAATAAAATATTGAAATCATAATATTATCAATTTATAAAAAATTTATAGTAGTTAAATTAATTGATTTAAAGTCAACAAACTAAGAAAAAAAAAACATGAACAAATCTTCATGAAAAATTTGATAATCCACTACATATTATTTGAGAAGTAACATTATTGAAAATAGCTTACTTGTCAACACTACAGCCAAAGTTAGTGCTTTTAATTGATGACATGTAAATGTGACATGTCAAACTTCCTAAAATAAACGAAATGTTTTGATTTGTTGAATTAAAATTATAGTTATGGAATGAAAACATAAATAAACTAGATTATATTTATAACACTAAAATTAACAAAAAATAAAATTTATTATAATTTTAGTTTTTTACATATATTCATAATTGCATAAAATATAATTTCACATAAAAACAAAAACAATAATACTAAATGATCCAATAAAATAGTAAAAATTCTATTTATTAATAATACTTGAAGTATGATATGTTTTTATATCGGAAAGTTATTAATTTACAAAATATATTAATAATATCTAAACAAGTTCTAAATAAAAAAAATTATTAAATAATACAATTTTAAATAAAATACAATCATGATAAAAATAATTTAAAGAATAAAATGTTGAAAGAAAAAATAATTAACTTTTATTGAAATAGTTTTAAAAAAACAAAATTTTAAATAATTTTATTTTGTAACCGATATTTACTAATTGAATAAAGTATATACTAATTATTATTTTATAATATTAATAGGACCATATATTTTTCTATAACTTTTATCATCTTTTTATTGTTGTTTTCTAAAATGTACATAACTTATGTTACCATCTCATCTTATCTCTTATTATATTTTAAATAAAAATAATAGCATATGCATATATATATATATATAAAAATTTATTTTCATTGTATATAAAAATTTTGAGATAATAAATGAAATAAAAATAACCAAACGAAAAAATAAATTATAATAAGATGAAACAATATGAATCAGAAATAAAAATAGAAGTATATAAAAGTAAATCTCTCGCACTTTGTTTTACAAAGTCACTTAAAAATTTTTTAACACGTAAGAGCCATATTTTATTTTTTTTACAAATACGCGTACATACATATATATTAATTGTACATTAGTTGAAGTCACATGCGAATTTTTCCGTGCATGTATTTTGTTATGATTGATTACAGTCTAAATTTTATTTTAATTATTATACAATTTATATTTTTTAAAAATCTTTATCTATTCTAAATGTAGTGAAGTGGTTGGTATGCTCGCACATACGTGCCAATTATCTATCTGTTCTTAGAAATAAGTAAAAATGGTAAAAACTATTTCAGTTTAATTTGCAATAAATCAAGAAAAATATATACTTAAATATATTATATGTATTTGCAAATTCATATTATGTAAGACACAAAAATGCATATCGTAGATTGTGTAAGGAGAAATAAAGCATATTATAGAAATATTTAAAAAAATATTATAAGAATTTTTAATTATTATTTAACATAACTTTTATATTTGTGATTATATATTATTACAAGCATTATAAATATAAAAAGTTTGAAAATACACTGGTTTCGGAAAGAAGTTTGTGAAATATTAAAAAAAATATATACTAAATGATCCAATATTTAAAAAAACTAATCAACATTTAAATATTACAATTAACTATATATATCAAAACAATTATACCCGCACATATATGCGGGCCAACCACCTAGTGTATATAATAAATTAAAACATTAATTAAAAAAAATAAACAATTAATATTGATACTATTTTACCAAAAAAAAGTAAACAATAATGCTATATAGCATATTTGTTATCTAAGAGTCATATATAAATTAAACCATAATGCAATATTCTTATATAGTAAATCTGAATATTAATAATTATATCATAATAATTTTGAAAATTCATCATTATGACTTTTTTTCTTTTAATTGATGTTTCTGTCGAAAATAACATATATTTTTAATAATATATTTTTGTATATATTATTATAAACTGTTAAAAGATATAAACTTAAAAATATTTAGCTTGAAGTATTATATATGTTTTCAAAATTATTTCCAAGCATGCTATAATTACAACAATATGTGAATAAAATCATTATGGTTTTTTTTTATTTGTTCTCATTGATTTTTGAGAAAAATAAAATAATATTTTTAATTATTCTGTTGTATTTATAAGAATATTTTTAATAAACAATTAATAAACATATTTTACAATAAAAGTATTTTGTTATGCGTTTGAGAAAAATAAAATATTATTTTTCATTTTTCACTTGTTTTTATAAGAATATTTTTTATGAATTATCAATAAACATATTTTTTTTTAAAAAGTAGTAAACATTAAAAGTATTATATATTTTGCTATGAATGATAAAAATAGTAAACATTGAAAAATATTATATATTTTATTATGAATTTATAATAAAATATATATGGATAATATTTTTAAATATTATATAATAAATTTTGTGTATATTATAATTAGCATTAAAAAAAATTTATTTTATTAAATTATTAATTCTAATATTATTGTATTTGAATTCATTTAAAAATAAAAAAAATAAAAAATATTTATGGACCTAAAATATACAATGGCATATCATGTAATTAATCTACTAATCTAAGTCTTTTTAAAAAAATTAGCTGAGAATAAATATGGCGTTGACACATCAGCATAATAGCACCACTGTAAATATTTATAAAAAATAAGATTATTTTTTAAAAATGCTTCTCTTTTAATATATAAAAGATATCTTATATTTTTAGGATTTTTTGAGTAAACAAATATTTATTATAATTCAAAATTTAGTATCTGACCACATCTAAGTTATAAAATACAAATTATAAATTCTTAAAAAGACAATATATCAACACTAATTTGTTTTCTTCTTTATTAACATATATATTGGGACTGATTTTACTGGATCGAGAAAAAGTCTGACAAATGGATCTAGGCTGCACTAAACACTGATACACGCCACGCTAACTCGGCCGATCCACTCCCGCGTATTGTTTCGGGGCAGTTGGCGAACTTCTCCAAACACGCCAGAATCATTATCCTCACCTGCTCTTCTGGTGCGTCGGATGGAAAAGACAGGATAAGGAGACCGCAAGTATAAATAAGTGGAGATCACCATGCGGAAGAAGGAAGACTGATCGGATCAGAGAAAAACTTTCTATAAGAGGAGGTAACTACTTGTATATGAATCAGTGGGCTCGAACAAGCAGCGTGATCACGAGTAAACTCCATGTTCTTCCCGGATGAATGCCTTTTAGGATAAGTCCTTCTTAACCCGGAACTTTGCCTTCATACTCGCTCCGTCTTCTTTTATCGTGTAGAAACCCCTTCGAAACACCCAAAAATAGATAGAAGCCTCGATCCTTGGATAAAATTTCTCACTCTAACCCGTAGAGACACCCCTCCTGAGTATTTGTTCCCGGTAGGACGTTCACTGACTTGGACGTCGGAGAATCTTCGAGAGGGAAACCCCCTTTCGGCCTTCCCATATGCTTGTCTGACCTTCCCTTGAGTGTTTGCAGGATTAGACGTGACGACCAACCTGTCACCCCGACACCAAAGGCTCCTGCCCCAGAACGACTCGTCGCCTTTCCCCCAGAGGACGAAACTCGGAGACTCAGCTCCACCCCCGGACGAATCACACACCCCCTACGTGGCATCCCGAAATTTGCTCCCGAACAGTTGACGCTAGAAAAAGGGGGGGTCAGGCGAGCGTTCCACGAATGAAGCGATACACTCAAGTCGGCTATGCGAAAGTATGCAAGGCACGCATGCCATAGTTCTACTCAGCCATCTCAAAGCTTTAGGATCATTACGCGTATTGGTCCTGAAACTGAGATCTCGGATCTGTAAAACAAAGTAAAGCACGAAAGGAATGCATGAAGGACAAAGACGTATGAAGCAAACCAAAGTGCATCTCCTTTAAACAAAAAAAAACAGGCCAAAACAGCCACTGATCCAGGTTCAAAAGAAAAATTTACTAGGGGCACGAGTCTCTGAAACAAAGTTTTTTTTATCTAAAAACCCGGCGGGCGTGAAGATCCCGCCGGTGAAGAAGGGTCTGCGCTTCCAGCGCTTTCAACCGCCCCCAAACCGTCTGACCCCCGTGGCCTGCCGCATCGCCGCTCTTCCCCGAGCTCCCGCCTGAGCATGTAGATTGTGGTTTGGCTCGTCAAGAAAGCCTCAGACACCGTCATCGCCAAGTCCACCTCAACCCCTGGAGCGAACCCTCGGTACACCATGAGGGTTTGATGGAGCGTATGCACTTCCGATTTGCGAGCTTCCAGATCCCGCTGGCTGTCCGCCAACGCCAAGGATTGGCGTTCTATCTTCGCGCTAGGGTCCTGCCCCCGAGCAGAAGTTTGGGCTTCGGCGAGTTGGTCAGGGGTCACTGAGAGTTCGGCCTGGAGCTCGCTGGTCCTGTCGACAAGGCCGCGTTCGCAATGCTAGGCCACGTGAAGCTCGTGTTCCAACTTCTCAAGCGAGCGCTGACGCAGTCACGTTAACTCCGAGGCGGTCAGCCGCCACCCGGTGAGCTCGCGGATC